CTCTGCATGACTGCTTGGCCACGGGAGTTAATAAAACGAAGTAGTTTTAGTAAAACAACGCAAGTTTTAGATCAGCCAATGACAGAACGGTGGGGAAGCTTACTTTTACGTCGAGTGCAACTTCAGTTTAGGTTAAACTTTGGATGATTTTAGGAGCTAAAACAACGGGCAAAATATGTGAAAAGCACAATAAAATACCGTTAACGTTAGGTTAAATATCTATTTCTGAGGTATTTTTGGTGGTATTTTTGGTAGTCTCAGATTGAATAAAAAATTGGTCTGAGTAGGCCTTCTGAGGTATTTTTGGTAGTCTTTATTCATCACCAAATTTGAATCTGAGACGTAGAAATTCTTCACCACATTAATAGAGAGTAATTGTCGATTCTGCCTCTCAATTTGCTGAAATTTTGAGTAATGAATACGAAATAGAAGTCAGAAAATTTTATGAAAAGTTGGTAGTTTATAGATGACGTGCACCATACTAGTAGCAATGTTATACTTACTGTTAACGTAAACAATTAATTTACTTCGGGCCCGTTTGGCAACCTGAAATATTACAATATTCTGGCCAAAAACGCCATTTTGGGGCCGAACTCAAAAAATCTAATAATAATTGAAACATGTCTTGCTTGAAGAGTTTTAACGCGAATCCAATAATAATTCAACGTGGGATTTACTCGTTGAAGAGGTCCAAAACGCCATATTACAAAATGGACCTTTTACCTCCATTTTGAAAATGGTATTTTTGGTTTATCCCATTTTGCCAGAAAGTGGAATATTATTTTTGAAGAGTTACCAGTTGGGCCCTTACGTAGTACTGAAGTATTAAGGTATATATTAACAATCCATAGGACTGGGAAACAAATAGTTTCGTCTGAGTTTCGTAATCCAACCAATCTAATTCGAAGTATCTTACTAATTGTATGCGACCGAACAATAGATTGAATTGGTTGGGGTTACGAAAATTCTACGAAACCCATTACCCGGCCGACACTTCGGGCTTCTCACGTGGTTCACGACATCCAGCGCATCACCGCTTCATGATTGAATCTAGTTCGCGCTCCTGGGATACACGGCTAAGGTGGCCTCACTCGGCAACTTGCCAACGAGATCTGAATGCCCGACATGAACAATTGGTCTGAATGTCCGACATGAAGAATGTAAAATATGCTGGCATATATGTTTGTAATGAGCTTGTATGCGTTGAGGAGCCTAGGCTTCTTGAACTCCCTTGTTATAGGAAGTAGACGACCCAACAAAACGAATGATGGTAAATATTCGCGGCGACTGTATGTGGCCGTGATGGGCCAGTTGACGTGGGCCGCGCATCCGATGGATCAAGAGCTGACCAGCAACTTCCGCCGCGACGTGATTGCCATGCTGGCCGCGGCCAACGACATGGCCGTGGCGGCGCAAGCCTCGGCGCGCTTCCACACTGCAGTTGCCGCCCCGGCGTCGCTCTCGGCCGACTTGCGCTCGATCGTGTACAGCATCCACGTGCGCACAACGTCCGAGCCCGACGCTGCGTTTGAGCACCCTCCCCCGGTGTTTGAAACCAGCGTCTTTATCCAGGAAAAGCTGCATGTGCTGGGCGCAGCTGGGCCGGTTTCCGTCTGTGGAGCTCAAGACGTGCGCGTTGGAGTGGGCCGCGTGGCGGGAGGTATCCGCAGCCAGGACAACCACAGCGTGTTTGGCAGAGTCGCCGCCGACGGGTCGACTGTCACATGGGAGTATGTGCAGGCCAAGTGGGACGCTTTGAGCGCACAATACTCGCAGATCGTCGTGTGGTGCATCCTGTGTGTGTCCATCGCCAACTGCCAGTTGGAACAAGCCGCCGCAGCGGTCGAAGCATTCTTGGTCGGCCACCCCCAAGGCGCCTTTGCCCCCCCGCTGGCGTTGTTCCTTGAAAATATCCGCACAGTGGCTACCATGTACGCCCTCGATGTGACACCGCTGGCGGCGTGGATCCAAACGCTGTGATAACAAGGATGTAGTTGTGGTCCAGTGTGAAAGACTACTCGGAGGGAGTAGTACTCGTAGTGCTGCGATGTAGACACCATGTTGCGTTGCGGTAAATAACGAGTTTTGGGGTTAGTACAGAGTAGTCGACCAATGGACGTATAAGGAGGATGTTCATTTATTTCAAGGTGGAATGAATGTGGAGCTGGTTCGTACATACTAGGTAGTACACACTGCGCAGTTAGTTTGCGGATGGGGACGATGGCTAGCATCCCCCCGTGCTGTTTGGGTCAAACTATGGTGCAAGTCATCTACTTGAAGTAAAGACTAACTTACAGATTGTGAATAATCCGGATACAATGAAAACGTTCGTACGGATAAGTGCTGTATACAAAGACCAAGATATACTTGATACTCCTTTTTCAGCCAAAATATACCTGGTTCCATATATCTCTGTACAAAAAGGCCGGTTGGTTTAAATGGTTTAAATTTAAATTCTATTAATCGATCAATTTTTCACCAATCGAAAATCTGAACCGTAACTTCTGTTGGGCTTGTCCAGTTCTATCGTTATTACGGTATATTTTCCTAAATAATATCAATACAAAGTTGGAATAGCTGTCGAAAGCCAAGGCATTTATTTGTAGTCTTTAGGTTGCACCATAAGCTTAGTATTAACTGTAAGATATGTTAGTTGCAACTGGCAATGGCATTACGTTAGCAATTTCTGTTACTTCGAAATATTTCATAGAATACTCCAAGTAAGGTAACGCATCGAAATCGCGAACACTTTTTGCGTCATGTCAAGTCTAATTTTTGACGCAACATATCTCTGGAAATCCGTGGAATTTCGAAAATCTAAAGGCATGGTAGGAAAATATAATTCGAGTACTATTTTATACTTGAAGTAGTTCCTATGAGATCATAAAACAACTGAATGTGTGGTTTATAGTGGATTATTGCGATCAGTCATAAAAGTCGGCATGACGGGTTGTGATTTTCTAAATCGCGAACAGCGCGTATATCTTGATATTTGTATTGAGGAATAAAAATATGTACAATTTATGTTTATTTTATTGCTGTTCGCGATTTCGATGCTTTACCTTAATCATATTAAATCAAGTCCTGGAGGGTTTTTCGTAAGAGTTTCGTAACTACCCAATAATCAGACAATACTATTACACCCAATTTCGGTTAATTTGAGGACCTCACCATACTTTTTCGCGAAATGAACAAGCAATTCCACTTCGTTCGTTGTATATTCGTTTTATTTCGCCTGTAACCAAGAAGGTTGCAGTATATTTCAAGCGACGTTCCTTAGGGGCTGGTCTGCGAACATTCCCGTCCACGCTTTTTGAAGTATCAACGCAAATACGACTCCTGATTGGCTAAAACGTGAATTTTTCCGGATAACACAACCTCAAAAGCAGGGACGCCTGAGTTGAAGCAGGGATGATTCATGTGGCACTGTGTATGCGCTCAATTCAGCGAGTATATTATACTACGTAGTAATATATTTCGGGTGCAATCCATATATTTCGAGCGAAAATAGAAAGGAATCACTTCAACCGAAGATCTCGCGGGCTTTCGCTCATCCTTCAAAACGACGGAAGATGGAACAAGCCTCTCTCGCAGCGCTTGCCATACCAGTACGCTCCCCCACATACCCTGTGTTCCGAGTTGACGTGTTCATAGCCACGCCGCCGTGGCAAGTACAAAAAGACATCAGAGTCTGCCAAGCGTCGCAATGTCGGCATGTACGATATGAATGGCGATTGGGCTGCAGTTGCAGAAGCGAAGGGAGTCAAGCCATCAACTGCTCGAGGTTGTACCTGGAATCACTCACTCCAAAACAGCTAGCTAGGTAACAATCACAGTGACTTCTATACTCATACATTTTAGGTGGCTACAAACCCCGCCTCCTCTCTCAGGAGAATGTCGATATGATCTGCGTAACATGGTGTCTGACGATGTGATCCGCCGAAGCTTTGAAAAGGCAATCATAGAATTCCTAGGTTATACGCTTATTGTTTGTCTACGGTAGTAATCGAAGTTCTTGGATTGTCTTCCTTCTACTCTTAATGACCTCTTTATTTCATTGCGATATTGCCGGTGCTGAACAAATTTCACTGTACGTACGATGTGGAATTTTATCACCTCCAGAAGTGATTAAATCTATTCGAAATAGGCTGCGATTGGCTAGAATAGTTGTCGAACTTCGTAGTTATGTGACCAATTAGACAACTTCATTCCGCCTGAACTCGAAGCGTTGCATTCCCTCTTTCCCAGTACTGTATCTTTGGGCGGCCTGTTAGACTTTTTGAGCGATCATAAAAGGCTTTTCATAAAAGGCTTTTGACTCAGTTAACCAAATTCAACGCAAATACTCCTATTTCAAGGGAACAACTTAGACCCACCAAATAGGCTGCGTTGCAACGTCCTACCCCATCTATCCGTCGAGGAGATAGAGGGCACGTGAAAATATTCCATGCGCTCCTGATGTTCAATGATGCGATAATATAATCTCGACCTTCCTTGACCTCGTTTTACAAATGTCACATGAAATTGTAATAAAATTATGCAGTGAAAACGTAATTTTTCGTCGTATAAAAACGATGTTGCTCGTCACAGTCGTGACAGGGTACGTTCGCTCTTTTTTTGTACTAGAAGCATATGTTTGTTCCTAGCAGTGTGACGTGCCAACACGGGTTCCAGTGTGCAACTCCAGCAATGAAATTGCGTCTTGGATCATTTCTTCAACTTATACATATAGTATGAATCGCATGAGTAGTTTAGGAGTGCAATGATGTACTGGTATAAGGTCATTGATGTTGAAATCACAAGCGGGTTGAGCTGAAGCAACGTTACTGTAACGTTAAGAACGCTGTGTTCCACCAAAAGCAGCATGTGTAATGCATATACAGTGTAGATTGAACCCAGTAACAGTAAAGTCGTGATTTCATTGCGACTATTTGTGTATTTTGAACCATTGAGACCATTTTAAGCTTCAATAAAGTAAGACTGACATATAGCTCATTTGGATGAACTATTTCGATCGTATGTATGCATTCACAGTCAACAGTTCCCTCACAAAACAAGTGATATTGCGGTTTCCACACCTACTTCGATCATCCAATCAACAAGCGACTACTGCATTGCGTCGCATAATGTACCGACTCCTGAATGTTAAAGTTCTATGATTGGCTATAATATATAAAACATATTTATATTTAAGCATCCAGTGAATTCTTATAACCAAACTTGATGAGGATTGCAGGAGGCATGGCTGATTAAAATCTGAGGCATTCTAGATTAATAATAGCCGTGCAATTCAATTCTAAATAATTTGATCATGTCACGGCTTTTCGTATAATAATACTCCGTATTATGATGTTTTTCGATGATGATGAACAAACCCCCCAAATTTCAGCCAAATAGACAAAAATCGGTGCCGCCCAAACATAAAGCATAGGTATAGTAGCCGCAATATTAGGGAGATTTCGCAAAGTAATGTTCTGGAAGAATCCGTCCGCTCTGACCCAAGTGCTGATCGTGGCCATGGTGTGCTTCACGTGTCCTGGTCTGTTCAATACACTGACCAACATTGCCGCCGGTGTGGCCGACGAAACCATCAATTATAACGCGACGGCGTTGCTGTACGCTTGCTTTGCGCTGTTCGGTCTGTTTGCCGGCGGTGCTGTGAACGTGATCGGGCCCAAGTACACGCTGTTCATCGGCACGTTTGGTTACATCATGTACGCTGCGTCTTTGCTGGTGATGGACAAGAATTACGACACCGTGGCCAAGGTTTACAGCAGCGGCGCCACGGCGTTCTTCTATGCGTCGAACGCGGTGATCGGTATCTCTGCGGGTTTCTTGTGGACGGCGCAAGGCCAGATGTGCATGGCGTACCCCACGTCCGAGACCAAGGGCACGTACTTTGCGTACTTTTGGGTCATCTTGAGCTTGGGGTGGTCTCTCGGGGGCTTCTTGTCGTTCGTGACCATCTACGACAATATGAGCGAGGCCGCCACAACGTCAACGTACGTGGTGTTTTTGATCTTGA